GTCCTGGCAGGCCTGGAAAAGCTCACTCTGCCACTCAAGCTGCCGACTGCGATTGTCCATCATTTCCACCATTTGGCCTGCGATCTGGATCTTTTCATCTCCGAGTTCTTCTGTGCGGATCAAAGAGCGCTGGATGCAGTGAAGTAGACGCCGCCTCTGCACGGGATCTGACTCTTGTCTGTGCTTTTCATAAGCCTCGTCCAATTCATTGAGGATCTCTGCAAGATCAATGCATCAGGATTAATGTAATACGATAATAACGGCACAATGTTTACTGTTACTGTATGTCAGTCTACACACCTTTATCATTTTAACCTCCAATAAAAAAGGCAGTAATCATGACAACAAAGCTATATTGTCTCAAGTCAAGACGCCACATGTGAAGAAAACACATATTGACTAACAAATATCACCATATTTGATTAATTACAGGACAATAACATTACGTTTTCTGAAATGTTATGTTTAAATATACATATGTGGATTTATCAAAGTAAAGATGCACAGATTTGCATGCATTTCCAGAACCAAAATCTGAATTGAACAAAACCAAATGCAAAATATTTTTTTACCAGAGGGGATTTTGGATGTTTGATTATGGGGGAATCACGTTTTAGGAATAAAATGTATAATTACCAGGTGAATTGTATAAACACACGCCTCTGTAAAAACCTTCAGAATATAGATATGAATAAAACTCTAAAGTTTGGTATATGCAAGTGCTAACGAAGTGGAGATTTCTGGCTCAGTGCAGGAGAAAAAAATCTTATTTTGAAAGATGGCCTTAAAATATGTATTGTACTTGAAATCTACAGATGCAAATAGATCGTGCATAGTCAAAAAAACACGTACATGTGTATTTTTGGATGTTTTCTTTCCACTAGCCTGAAAAAAAAACATGCTATAGAAGTAAAATAGCCCAAATCTCAAAACTGACCAGTGCATGGAATAAAAGCAATGGTTTTGCCTGGAGCGTCTTTGCTTTAAGATGTTTGTTTATACGTCTAGACACAGTCGCTGGCCATATGAAACTTGATGTGCTGTCTTTATAATATTTGAAGTACTATTTGCACAGCACTAACACACAACTGTGATTTCAAGCTACATTATTTAACGTTAAACAGGAAGTTTAGTGGCGCTCTAGAAGCTGCAAGACTCCGCACTCCATCCAGGACGTGTAGTCATTTCATGCAAACCTTTACAAATGTAAGGTATAAATGTACTCAATATTTGATCAACTTTGCAGCTTTAACCTCTCAATCGCGCGGCGCGGGGAAACTTGCAGATTGCACGTGCTAACGGTTAGCCGCTAGCCAGCTAACGTTAGCTAGTGTGACATCTAACACCCGCTGCACAAACAATGCAGTGATTTTTTTGTACACTTCTGCTAAATGCAAGAGTCTGTAAGCCTTCACCTTGATATCTGGCGTCAGTTTCCTTCATGAGAGACACGCATCTCTGTAGGTCCAGCGGCAAACACTCGACCAGCTCCAGATACTCCTCAACATAGTTCACCACAGCCTGAGAAGACTCTGCGTTTGAAGAAGGGCTCAACATCTTTTCGCACGCATTAAAGAGGCTGGTAGAGCAATATGAATACGTTTCTTAATAGTTATATTATCCTAGGATAGGTTTTTTTTTAATACAGGTCTGGGCTGCAAGAAAAGTTACTCAGATAAGTGTTTAGTGAGTTGTGCAGGACCAGTGACGCTTCTATGGCGGAGACTTAGCTCATGAATATTAATCGCCTCACAGTGACGTTGCTCCACAACCTTCCAACAGAGTGTCTCGGTACGCCAAAGCTAATTAATATTCAGGAGCGAATCCTTTAATGTTTGCCACAGGGTCGTGCAATGTCTGCATATTGTTGCACTTTGAAGACGCTTGGTGGCGTTTGGTAGCAACGCTTCAACAATCATTTCAGAGGAGCTGGTAAATAGCATTTGATAACATTATATAAACTGGGACTTGTAGCATTCAAATGTATTTATTTATTAGAAGATTGGCTGCATAATATTAACATTAAGCATGTTTTCTTTGTTATGCTGTGTTTGCTATGGAGATCACGTGACAGTAAAATCTCTAAACACCCTTACAGCATCCTCTGCATACAGCAAATGTATAATGTAACAAATGTGTTATTTTGTGTTTCTCCCTTCTTGTCAATCTTCTATTTGAGCTTTATTATTAAATATTTAAAATCAATTGCATTCAGAGTAGCCTGCTGTCAGTCAATCTAAACACCTGGGAATCCCTGTAGTTTTTAATGAATGTTAATAACTCATTGAATTTGGTCCTCTCTAAACATCTTTTAGCTGCTTGGATAATTCACATCTTATGCTGAAAGGTGAAAAGGGTAGTTGAGTTCCTCTAACACCAAGAATGCCCTGCAGGGGTCTCTTATGTTAAGGCAATGAGGCTCTTAATGTTGTTTATCCTCAGCTTAGTTGTTTGCTGGCACATCATGTAGATATTCTTTTCTCTTGAGTGTATTATTGTGGATTCCTTGTTTCAGTTACAGCCCCGAAGAGAAGTCCTAACGAGTTATCCTATATTTTTAACAGTTGTGAATGACCTTTGAAAATGATAAAAGTAGTTCTTTGTACATCTGTGTTATTAGCAGGAAAAATGTCAGATGACTAAAATGTCATAATGTGCAAATGAGAGGGGACACGAACGTAAAGTTCTCCAGAGGCCAGCACAGTCGAGTCTCCTTGTCTTCCGTACTTTGACCCGAGTGGTGTCGTAAAAAATGACCGCTTACACGTTTCAGTGTCAATGGAGAATTCAGAGTTTGCACAAATTCCACATTAAGTTAATGTCAAGAATCGAGGTGTAAGCGTGAGGTTTTGCGTAGACACTCTTCAAGCTTTTTTCAGGATTCTTCAGGATACTTTTCTTTATAAAAACATCAAAAATCTTACTGATCCCAAACTTTTGAACGGCAGTATAGATAGATAGATAGTAACACTTTATTTTATGGTGTTGTTGCATGTTACATGTACTTGCTATAGTAATAACAATAAATTATGCAAAATGATATGCAACTTATCCTAAACCAAACCCTCGTCCTAACCCTAACCATGTAGTATGTAGTTAATGTTACTCAGTACTTAAAAGTGTAATTACACTGTAACAAGGACACCCTTAAAATAACAATATGTATGTAGAGAAAGAGAGAGAGAGAGAGAGAGAGAGAGAGAGAGAGAGAGAGAGTGATGATAAAATAACAATATGTATGTAGAGAAAGAGAGAGAGAGAGAGAGAGAGAGACAGAGTGATGTGTGTGTGTGGGTATAGAAAATAACCCCCCCCCCCTTTTAAAATAATCACATTTTGTTGTTTTGCAGCCTGAATTGTAGAGGGACACGGTTTTTGTTTTAAAATAATCACATTTCGTTGTTTTGCAGCCTGAATTGTAGAGGGACACGGTTTTTGTTTTATCCAGCTATATTTACTCAGTGCAACTTATAGCAACCAAGTGAAAGATGAAACACCAACATGTCAGAAGAGTTGGAAAAAGGATCAGCCCCCTCCTAAAAATGACTTGTAAACTCAATCAGATGTAGCTAATCACCTTCTCAATGGCACTCAAAGCCATTTGACTTTCAACTGTGATCAGCTTTGGTCATTTTGATTAGCTCAGCATGAAAAGAGCTTTCCTGGGGCATGTCAGTCCTTGGTAGTGCAACTGAAGCAAACAATCGACTCTGGGTGGCAGGGCACTGTCAAAAGATCTCCGGGATAAAGTTGTGGACAGACACAAGTCAGGAGATGGATACAAAAAAAATCAAAGGCTTTACCAATGCCTAGAAGTCCAGTGAAGTCTATTATTAAGAAGTGAAAGGTATTTGGTACAACACAGACCCTCCCTGGACCAGGACCCAAACTGGATGAAAGAGCCAGAAAACTGGTCAGAGAGGCGACCAAGAGGCCTACAGCAACTCTGAAGCAGCTGCAGGAATTTGACAAATGCCCCTTTCACACACACAGTCTTTACTGATAAATGACCAGTAAATTACCATTAAGAGATCATGTGTGAACAGGACCTTTTCAAAAAAATACAAATAAATGGCTAAAAAGTGGTCATTGTGTGCATGTGACAAACAATATCACAAATTCTCCACAAATGTGTCTTGTATGGGAGGGCTGCTAGAAAAAAGCCACTCCTCAAGAAAGGCCACATGCAGTCACGACTGAGCTTTGCCAAAACACATCTTGAAGATTCTGAGGCAGTTGAGACTAAAATTTAGGTATTTGGCCTCAACATCAACTGATAAGTCTGGCGGAAATCCAATACAGCTCACCATCCAAATAACAGCATTCCTGCAGTAAATCGTCAGAGCCCAGACTTAAACCCCATTGAAAATCTGTGGAATGACTTGAAGACTGCAGTCCACAAACGTTCACAATCAAATTTAACTGAACTTGAGCAGTTCTGCAAAGAAGAGTGAAACTTTAGGTGAGCAGTATCTTGACATGATGCTACATGTGTATAGTGTATGTGTGTGAGAGCCTGTGTATGTAATAACACCAGATAAAAAGAATGAGAAGTCCTTACACCGAGCATGCTCTCTGCTTATGGTAGCAAGCAGTTAGTCATGATGATTTTGACTTGTTATGGTCTTAAAGCTGCCAAGTGCCACTGCTTGATAAGGACAAATGCACATGTCCTGTCATGCGCCCTCAATGCAGTGGATTCCTCCTACTGCTGGTGCCTTTTCCAGCATCACTGGTGGCTAAACAGTCTAGAGACTTTACAAGCTTTAAGTTAGTAACCCTAGATAGTGCTACCATGCATTCAGAAAGTATTCAGACCTTTGAATATTTTTCACATTTTATGTTGTAGCCTTATGCTAACATCAGTCTACACTCCACCACACTCCATAATAGAAAAGCAAAAACAAGATTCGTGATAACTTTGCAAATTTAGTATTCAAGTATTCAGACCCTGGATTGAACCTAATCAAACATCTCTGGAGAGCGCTAATGTCTTTTGATCAGTGGTCCTCATCCAACCTGACTGAGCTTGAGAGGAACAGAATTCACTACTGATCCACTTATGAAATCAATTCTCAATTCCTTTTCATGTACAGTGTGCTCACCTGGAAGATAAAGTGTGCTCCTGTGCTGCACAGAGCCGGACTCAGAGGTGTATGTGGCCACACAGGTGAGCTCACTGATGTTGAGATTTTCCGGCAGATATACTTGATTCTCCAGCATAAAAAACTTGCCAAGCTTCTTGACAGAACTGACGTTGGAGGGAAAGTTCAAGGCAGGTTCCCAATGAAGAGTGGGTGCTTTCATTTTGTATTTGGAATTACAGACAGCAATCCTTTGATTGTTTTCTCTGTACTGCTTGGTGGAAACGTTGATAACTAAAAACAAAAATAAGCTTTAATTTAATTTATCAGTATGATATCAGAATAATACAGTATGGTATGGTTTCACTGTTAGCTCTAAATACTATTTGTGTGTGTGTGTGTGTGTGTGTGTGTGTCTGTGTGTGTATGTGTGTGTGTGTGTGTGTGTGATATGTGTACAGGTTTATATATCCTGGTGGGGACTTAACCTGAATACACACAGACTCATGGGGACTTGTGTCACGGTGGGAACTTAAATTGAGGTCCCCATGGGTACAAAAGCTTATAAATCATACAGAATTAGTTTTTTTGAGAAAGTAAAAATGCAGAACGTTTCCTGTTAGGGGTAGGGTTGGTGTAGGGCAATAGAAAATACAGTTTGTACAGCATAAAAACCATTATGCCTATGGAGAGTCCCCACAATCAGTAGTTCATGACTACAGTGGAACACTGAGAGACATAACTAGCCTATCACTGACTGAAACTAGGTAAAATCAGATCAGTGTAATTATACCTAAACTGTTTTGTAAACTACAAACGTTTTCAGTTTTTGCAATAAATTGTGTTTGTACTCACCGCTTACAGTCACATGTAGTGCAGAGCTTCCTCCTTTATATGATACATCACAAAAGTAAAATCCTTCATCTTCTATTGAAATCTTGGGAATGAATAGGGAAACGCCATCTGAGGTGTTGTACAGCTTCTTTCCATCATTGCATGGGCCGTCCAGCTTGGGGGACAAACCAAGCCAACACGTTCTGTTTTGCTGGCTGATGTTCCAGATTATATAAATTAATTCATTCCATTTGACAACAGTGAGGTTGTCACATCGTAAAGTCACATCGCTGCCCGAAATAAAGGTCTGCTCTTGGAAAACTGCAGAAAAATAAATAAATAAGAAATTGTACAAAATGTGATTAAATATTGGATTAGAGTAACATTTCTGTTTACTCAAACTAAAACTACCAAACAAACAAATATATAAACTAAATTATTATTCACATATAATTCAAATGAAATAAAATGTGGATGTTATAATAATAGGTGTGACACATTTAGTCATTTTTTCTCTATACACTAAACGTATCTCTCTAAGCCATGCCAGACTACTTTTATCCTTTGATGCGTCATTTCCTTCTATAACCCTAAAAGAGTTACAACATACACAGCAGCTCTATTCTGGCAATAGATGTAACACAATTGGTACTTTTCATCACTGTTTCAAATATTATGTTAATGTTATTCTGGTAAGACTTTACAATAAGGTTCATTAGTTAATGTTAATTAATGCAATAACTAATATAAACCAATATGTTACAGTATTTATTCATCGTTGTTAACATTAATTAATAAAAGTACAACTTTTTATTGTTAGTTCATGTTAGCTCAGGTCCATTAATTAATATTAGCAGATAAAACTTTGGATTTTAATAATGTACGTTATTAGTACATTTTGAAATTAATATGAACTAAGATTAATAATTGCTTTACACGTATTTTTCATTGTTAGTTAATGTTAACTAATATATTAACAAATGGAACCGTATTATATAATGTCACCATTATTTTTTAAAGCATTAGGAGCACAACCCCCTTTTTTGGATTTTGGATGTTAGATGGGCTATTATCTCCACATGAAAAGCAGCTAGTTTAAAATGTCTAATGTATGTAAAATGGTGATTCTATAAACTTCTAAACAGTATGGCAAATAATGATTGCACAAGGTCAAGTGCTTGCTTTCACTGACTATTGGTTAAAAAATTATTTTATAATATTTATATAATATTTCATATTTAATAATAGTTTCTGTTCTTATTTTGTATCCTATTCATGAAAAATGGCAGTGTATTTACATAAATAAATAAATAAATAAAAGTGTATGTTGTCTGACCTGTCAGTTTTTTAACCGCAGAAGCTGGATTCTGATGTGATCCAGTGTCTTGATCTCCTATAGGACAGTTAGTGGCACAGCGTGTTAGTAACAGGTTAATGTGAGGCTCAGCACAAAGAAACACAATCATTCACTCCAGTAAGTTTTACAGTTCATTTCCATTACACAAAAGTAAGTGTAAGATAATCAAGATTTAGTAGTAGCCTCTATTACATTTACTGGTCATATTTCTTGTTAATGTTAGTCAGAGGTGTACAGTTTTGTCCAAAGATTAGACAATGATTTGTTTTCATTATTGTAGCACAAGATGAATGAGGCCTGATTCTGAAGAAAATGGAGGTTGAACACCTGCCCTAAATCAACGGCTCTCATCCCATACCACCTTAAACAGCATTATTGTCAACAGTCACAACACAAATTTCATTTAGTTCCATGTAAACTGCTCTAAGGTCTTGTTCTAGATTTACAGTTTATTTTCAGATGCATCTGTCAGCCTCAAAAACCTCAACAACTCATCTCCCCCCTAAGAATCCCCCCAGAGAGGAAGAGCGCTTCGTCATGGCATGTCCTCTCGAAATAGCAACAAACACAAAACCATCACATGCACGTGAGAGAACCGAATTCTCATCCACCATAAATATCTTTGCAAGTATAAAAATAGATTTTCCCCAAATGAGCGGCAGTTACTAAGCCATCAAGATTTACTTGACGCTTTAATTCAGTACCTGATTTAAACAATGCCAAGATTTTAACCATAAAGCAAATACCCAAAAAGTACTTGGACATTTTAGGACACTTATAAATGTATGTATTTCCATAGACATAGACGATAGACAAAAAGCATCGATACCAGACAAAGATGATGTTAGATCAGAAGGCCAAATCATCCACGTACAAAGTGTAGTAAAGTACTAAAGAGTATCTTAAAGTACTAAAGAGTACTAATGAGACTATAATATTCAAAAGTATGTAAACTCACCTCTTGTCTGACTTCTTGCCATAAAGATACTTAGGAGGACGACCACCGTCAATGTCCAGCTGTTCGCCATCGCTACAAATCTTCAGTCAGACTTCTCTTCTCTCACCTTTAAATGTCCTTTATCTCTACTCACGGGTTATGTGCACTTCAATGCACTTGTAGCAACAGTACCTTCAAAGTAGAAATTTCAGAAGCAATTCTGAAATGTCATGTATTCTTTTTCCGTACTATGAATTTAGATTTAGACTGACTTTATCCAAGTCTTGAGGATAAAGTAAGGCATTCTGATTTGATTCGTTTCAAATGTTTTTCACATCTGCTTATCTCTATCAAATTTCACTCATTCTCTTTCACTTGTCTGAATTCTCCTCCTTTTGTTTCCTTCAGCAGTGTGACGCTGTTGTTCACTCCTCCATTTTTTTATAATTTCATATCTTCTCCCACATGAAAATGCTGACTTCCTGTCTTGTTAACCACGGTTGTCATGTGAGAGCTTTTTCTTAGTGCAACAAGATTGTAGTTTGGCAGTGTGTGATGTGTTGATGGCGATATTTGTTGGTTAATGTTTCTGTTTTATGTAGCTGACAGAATTATGAGACTAATGTGACCTTATAACCATAATCTACAAATATATGATTGAGGCTGTTTTGATCGTTTCTATGAATTCTTTACTATGTTAGAAACAAGTCATGTAGGGGATCACCAGAAAGTCACTTGCACACAATAAATTGTTATAAAAGGTTGATCAGGACATTTTCACCCTGAAGGGGTTAATTTTTGATAATGACAGTCTGGCTATGCAATATTAGGCTAATTACACAGCTACAGCTAAAAAAAATAAATAACGCAAATACTATGTAGAGGTGTAGCACTGATTTTGGTTTAAATTGTTTTACTGTCATACTGTCACCTTCACTATGTCCACCCATTGACAGACCAATAACGCTATGGGAGCTGTGTGGAGTTCTGATCATAACTGTATTGGAATTTTTGGAACCAGTTTGAGCTTTTGGATGTGTTGAAATATATGTGACCACCAGACCAGGTATGAATTGTTTTCTCAAAAATAAAAATAAAAAATAATAGTAATAAATAAATAAATAAAACTTTGAGAACGAGGTGAAAATTGCCAATATTTCTCCACTAAATTATTAATCTTTAAACACTGCTTCAGTAATATGGGCAGTTATCAATTATCAGGTCTAGAATAATTATTTTATCATTTTAAATAATTATTTACATGGATTAACCCTAGAAAACCCACCCTTTTTTCAGAATTACTGGCGGTCATTCGTTTTGTGTGGATATATGCATACATTCATTATTCATTCATGATGATTAAGTGGAGGGCAACAGCTGTTTCATTACTGATTTGGACGTTTTGTTCGACTCACACGATAGGGGGGTGAAAAGCGACAGTCGTATGCAAATGTCAGAGACAGCAAAAAGACGGCTTTAGATTATTTTACAGATTGCAGTAAGAAAAATAGCTCATTTGAACAACAAAAACAAACGGCTTAGCAATAACTGTATTAAACATGGTTTTGTATATTTGTGTCTCTCACCATCCCTTGTTCTTTTTGAGCCTTCTAAGGTTTTATGTTTCTGAAAAAATGAGTACAGAAGTCGTCCAAGGCCATATTTACAACTTTATAGTTATCCTTTTGAGATGTATAAGAGCCAATGGCACCTAATTGTGTGCATCGGGTGATGCAAGAGACATTAAAATAGTGCTGGTACATTGAAATGGCCAACATTGAAATGTCCAGTTTACTTTGCATAAAACTCTTTGATTGCTCAATAAAGAATTCAGCACTCTAGAGACCAATGTGATAAATCAAGCAAAACGATCAAAAAGCTAACGGAAATGTATTAAAGGCATAGTTCACCAAAAAATAGTATTGCGTCAGCATTTACTCACACTCATGTTGCTCCAAACCTTTTTGACTTTATTTATTGTGTGAAATACAAGAGAAGATGTTTTGGCTGTTTATGCCCATGCAATTAAAGTCAATGGGGGTCCAAAACAACATTAGAAAAAAATATATATATATATATATATTTAGATCCCCACACTAAAAATATAAATATACTGTAGTTTACGTGGTACTTTACTATAGCATTCTTTATAACACGGCTGAATTTGGCCAATTCTCAAGTTTAGGCGTATAATTATGTAACTGAATTTAAGTTGCTGGACAATACTTGCATGTTAAATGAGGTTAGGAAAAAGAGCACAGTCAGTTCGTTCGTGTGCAGATGTTGTGCATAGTTCAGACAGATGCAGTCACACAGGATGTGGTTAGCCATGCCCCCCTCCAATCACATATAGATATTAGCCGTTGTCAGATCAAATGTGTGTTGGTGTGGTGAGATGTCTGATGAACTGCTACAGATTAGAAAAAGCACACACTCTTTGCAATCTGCAACGCAATCAGAAATGACCTTTTTCTGCT